CCAGAAAAGAGAGAGAGAGAGAGAGAGACAGGGAGTAAGTTGGACTTTTGTTACTTATGGTAATTTGAAGGACTTTTTCTACATGTGACTAGATATGCCATTCACCCAAACTATTTATTTTTCAATTTGATGTCCAAATAGAAAACTTTCAGCTATTTTAATTTTCTAGCGTTCATCATGTATATATAGACAGTTAACTATCACTTTTATTATTTTGTTGTTATTATGGGACAGAATTTTGCTATGTAGTTCAGGCTGGCCTTAAACTTACTATGTATCCCAGGATGGCCTTGAATTCATGGAAATCCTCCTGCCTCAACCTCCCAAGTACTAGGATTACAGAAGTATGCTACCATGCCTGGCTACCTTCATTACTTTAAAACAATTTTAAATATTAAGCAAGATGTAAGTGGTACTTGGAACAATGTAAAATTTTAGTATACACACATACACATATACTAAGTAACTATTCAGAAAAAATTCTTAGATACTTATTTCGCCAACACACATACATAGAAAAAATACTTCTATGTGTCAGATGCTATGCTGGATACCTTCTTCAGTACAAGAACTAATTAGGCAAATAATTCCATGACAACTACTATTTCTTGCCTCGATTCATATTGTGTACCCTTCAATAAACACTTTAAAATCTTGTTCCAGGAGCAGGTAACACATAATGAAGCATAAGCATAACCAAATACTATTAAATTCTGGGTTTCAGGGAAAGGTTCAGCTATATAGATGGACCAATATGTTTGATTCAAGTCCAGCTTGTGCAGGTCTTTAACATGTTCCCACTGGCCTGAATGACCAGTGGTACATGCACGACTGTCCCATCGAGCAGCTTGTACTACCTGATGGGACTGTCCCATGCCACCTAATGGGGTAGTCATCCATGTACCATCAGTAGTTGAGAGCCGCCTGGCAGTGAGACATACAAATTATGGTCCCCACTGTGAAAGTGTTAAGCATTATCAATCATTGAAGGCTTAATTCCTACAGAGTTAACCCAAACATCAACAAAACAGGACAAGGTAGGCCCTGAGGGAAAATGAAACAGAAGTTAGAAAAGCTGTAAGAGACTGGGATCAGGACAAGTTTAGGGTTTTTATAGTGTGGAATCCAGGGTGGGGAAGATGATATAAAAGTAAAAGGGAAATTACTAGAGAAGAGGAAAGGGCTGGGGGGAGGGGGAGGGGATAAGAAGGGAGAATAATAAGGGGATGAGTATGATCAAAGTATGTTATATGTATGTATGAAAATGCCACGATGAAATCCAATATTCTTTATAATAAAATGTATATATTGGAAGAAAGAATTATTATTTCTTGTTGATACAAAGAAGTAAATACTTCAACTTTTTATAACAGCTAGGGCTAATGAAATGACACAGTGTTGTTCTCAAATACATTTGCCTCAAAATGAATTTAATATCATCTATAAATATTTGATATATTTAAAAGCATTATACTAACAGACAGTTGCATTACTATAAAACCAATGAAGATTAACCACAGAAACAGGTTAATGCCAGAGAAGGAAGCTACTGATAAATAATACAGCATGCAAGTAAGTATTTTTGGGATTCTAAGCAACTCATATAGGTTCACATAACACTGAAAGAAAAGATTAGTTTTTCATCTTCTTTGTCTTACTCTTCATAATTTCAATTTAGCAGTGGCAGGCAATTCTCAGACATAAAAAAAGTATGAAGATAATAAGCTAAAGCAGATTTTCTCTATAATTTTCCCAACTGACTCGGGAAATATTTGAAAGTTCCTTATATCTTTTGATAGATCTCAACTGTTAGGCCTTGCCCATATTTTTCAACAGATCACTTAATCTGAAAAATGTATTCATCTATAAGGTCATTTCCATTAGATGGAGCAGAACTGATTAGCATCACACTTTCCAAGTCACATGTACTTTGTGATCAGTTCTTGACTTCAGTATGGCAAGAATATTTTCCTGAACACTGCTGTAATTTCTCAAGGGTTTGTATTTTTGTGAGAAAGATGCAGCACACTGAAGTAGTTTAATTTCTAGTAAATCAAATTCAGCTATAGTGAAAACACCAATTTTCTCCACTGATTCTCTGAAATCTGAAGGAGTCAAAATCAGAATGCACTGAATTTATGCCTAATTTTCATTAGGTCTACAACCAAACTTGAAAACCCTGGATACTGAACATGCCACAGCATGTTCTGCTTCTGCTGGCTTTTCAAGGATTAATAGTAAATAAAAAGGAAAATGGTTAATGATCAACTTTTAACAAGTGTTTTATTATTATACCCCATCTCTCATCTAAAATTATTTTAATGTTATTAGTTTACAGGGTTAGTAACTTTAATTAGAACACATATGAAGACAAGGATACAAAATAAGTATTTCATAACTGTCAATGGACATAGTCCAGATTTAAGTTGTACTGTCATTCCCTAGTGAATTGTAGTATTAGTAAGAATATCCAAACCAATGAATAATATTAAGTATTCCAGATAAATCTTTTTTTGTTTGTTTGAGACTGGGTCTCACTATGTAGTTCAGGCTGTAACTCACTATGTAGCTTACGCTGGCCTTGAACTCACGGCCATCTTCCTGCCTCAGCCTCAAGCATGTGCCATCATGCTCAGCCTTCCAGATAAATCTTGATAACCATTTTAAATACCTACTTATGGGGAAAAAATTTCTGACTTCTATTATAAGATGGAAGGCCATCAGTTAACCTTGTGGTTGGTTAGTATAGAGAATTAAGCCACTAACAGCTATGTTTGTGTGTTTCTGATCAGTTGTTATTAACTACTTTAAGGATCACACCTTCTGTGGAAATGATAATCATCTCTTCATATTGCCTAGAGTGAATCTGATCTTATTTTGTTAGTGATTAGTTATTTGTTGGGGACTAGGCTACATAACTCAGATATCACAGTCTTGAGGTCAGTGTTATCTCAGGAATAGGGAAATATGGGGAAGGCCTCATGCCCCCTGGCTATGGGCGAAATGCTGATAACCCAACATTCCTGAGGAAGATAGCATCTGCCGAGGACAGTAGTCAGTATACAGGTATCTGAGTATAGAGAAAATCTGCTTCCTCACTAATTTAATCCTTATCCACCCATTCTCTATAGTTGCTGTTCCACGAAACTGTGCTACTGCTCCCCCTGCACTTCTCACTGGCTAATAAAAGCAGGCCAACCGTGGAGTTTATCAAGTCTGTATACTAGATGCAGGTTTCCTCCAGGTCCCTCCCTTGTATCTTGAAAATTGTCTCTGTCTCTTTCTTTTATTCCCCATTGTTTCCCTCAACAAGTAGCTGAGGGTCTGAATAGCCCTCAAATATTTAATATTCTCCTTAACACAGATGCTCCTGCTCAAACTCCTTCAAGTTAATTGGTCAAAGCTGGTCAGAGAAACGAAATATAAACGACAGAAATTATAAATTAGAACCAAGGAAGGATACAAACAGATGAATTCTAAACTATAAGAAACAAAGACTGTTTCAAAATACATTAATTAAAAATACATTTCTCTCACTCAATTAGTACCAGCAATAGAAAAAAGGTATCTACAAGGTCTATTCTCAATTTAGGGTAGTATCAACAGCAAAGGCAAGTCTTAGGTTTGCAAAGCTTTTTTTTTTTTTTGATGAGATGAAAAAAAATCCAACATATTTAATATTCTTGTTGTGTTTTCTTGCCACAATACTCTCTATATAGTAAATATATCTGTAGTGATTATCATTACAAACTTATGATCACTATTAGGCAATTTATATTCTAGGTTGGAAAATAGACAAATAAATTACATAGAATATGAAACAATGATAAGTTCCAGGAAAAAAAATAAAGCAAGAAAAGAGTTTAAGAGGTGTACATGTATAAAAGTGTAGATGAGACAGAATAAAAGATGTTTAAATGTTTAGGAAGGCCCATTATCCAGATCACGTACAGAGAGGAATCAGAAATTCATGCCATTTATTGTTAAGTGCAAAATGTTTCTGCTACATTGGTTGTTCCTATTTAGAAAAATTAACCACAAAGTTTCAATGAGTTAACTCTACTCAGTGGGGGAAACTGTACTACATATATATACTTTGATTATTTTTTTAGAAAGGCAGCTTTCTTAATTTTATTTTTAGAAATGATAAATCAGAAGAAAAAGAATTATTTGCTATAGCTGTGGAATTTTATTTTAGACATCATAGTAGAGCTTGTAAGGTATTCTGGTGTTCCAAGTTCAAGCCACTAGAGCAGTGTTCATATTACTTAAAACGATGGTGATTTCTTGAACAACATTGAGAACACTGATTTCAAATCAAAAGAGTAAATTTGAAATATGACAGTCCTATATCATCTGAGTGATGCTTTCTTTCTACAATGTTCTGGCTGGTTTTCTGTGGCCCTCCTGTTTAACAGATGAATAGACATGCTACCACACATTCCCTAATCCTTAAGCACTCTCTAGCTACCACACATTCCCTAATCCTAAAGCACTCTCTAGCAAAGCTTTTGATGAGCCTGGGCTACATAGTGAGTTAAAGGCCACCTTGAACTACACAATGAGATCTTGTTTCAAAAAAACCAACCACACACACACAAACACACACACACACACACACACAGTACAATTAGGACAAATGAGACTATTTTTCTTCCTTAATGCAAGAAATAATAGATCAAAATGCATTTTATTAGAGTAGTAGAATTAATGAAGGCTCCATGAGTACACAATGCATAATTCATCTTGACAGAAAGCTTTAGTTAAAAGTAAATGAAACTTTATAGTTTTTGTTAATTTTACCCAATATTTCAGTTTTTCTTTTTCTTTCAGTTGACTCTACACAAGAATTACAGAAAATCCAAAACAAATGAAATTTTATGTAATTTATAATTCACTAACTCTACCAACCTGTCTTGCTTTCCCATTCAATCAATTTACCTCTTTTTAATAATCCTATAAAATCCCTACAAACAAATAAAAGGAAAAAAACTACTTACTGGAAAGGACCGTTGTAAGAAAAATGTAGTCTGAAAAGGATATGAGCCCACATTCTCCAAGGGTGTAAAATATACTGCCTTCATCTGCAAATTTTTCTCGTTCCTGGGAAATTTTCTATTAAATGTATAGGTTCCACCAAAATATAAAAAGAAGATAAAATTAAGTTAGAATATAAATAGTAAGCAATAATCACCATTTAACTCACAATTTTATGCCATTTATCCTAAGCATTTCTGATGGCCATTCAAAAAAAAAAAAAAATCAATGGATCCTTTACAGTTTTCAACATAAAAGTTCCAAGACCAAAAGTTGAATTTTTTCATTTAAATACCAGGTTAATATGAATATTAGAAAATAATTTTGATTTTATAGTCCCCTGACATTGAACATATACAGACCTACTTCAGAATTGGTTTTCTTAGCTTTAAAAAGAATTTATCTTATTGTATAAATGTATAGAAGGCAGAAAATAAATCAAAACAAATGGAAAAGAGTAAAATAAATTAGACCTAACTGGCCAAGAAAAACTATGAAAAAATGAAGAGGTAAGCAACTACATATTTCCAAGGTACATATAAATAATACTCAGAAAACTAATTTCTGAGATACTAATTTAAATTTTTACTTTATGACTTCAAGAATCTTAGTTTTTGGAATACAGAATAGTATATAAGGTAAGTATCATCTCTGAAATGTAATGCCAAATCAGACATGCATGGCAAGGCTTAGGCACAATTTAGTTCAATCATAGTTACCATTACCTTATTAGAGGCTCTTAAATTTTAGCTTTTTTTTTTTTTGGGGGGGGGGTACCGGAGATCGAACTTGGGACCTTGCACTTGCGAGGCAGATGCCGGAACCACTGAGCTAAATCCCCAGCTCAAATTTTAGCTATTTAATAAAGCTGTCTCCTAAAACTTAGATTTTACTCTAAATACATCTTCCTTTTCTTCAACCTGTAAATCGTAAGGAGAATTAAATCTTAGCTTCAGGAATAGGCTGTCTCACACGTGGTCTCTTCTCAGGTGTTTAACCAAACTTATCCTGTTTTTTTTGCACCAGGGATCGAACTCGGGACCTTGCGCTTGCGAGGCAGGCGGTGGAACCACTGAGCTAAATCCCTGGCCCCCTTATCCTGTTTTTTAACCAAAGCATAAGCTTAGTAATAACACTAAAGATATTTTCAAAAACTGAAAAGGATCCATCAAAGAGTTACACTTGGAACAAATTTCCGTAAGTTCTGGACCAACCAAAGATACTTAAGGAATTATTCTGAGTACCAACATAAAAGAGAAAAGGGTTTTAAAAACTCAAACTAACAAAGCGCAATCAAATAATCCCATGCAAGCACAAAATAAGAGGCGGCATTGCAGGCATAATTTCAGGAGGAGTATCATGAAAACTACACCAACAAACACCATCACACCAGCATCCAGGTACACAACTATCCAATGGGTTACCTCTGTCTAGTGGAGATGTCATCATATACCACAAAGGAAAGAAAACTGGTTAACCAATTGAAAACTCAAGTACCACGTGAATCATCGTGAAGTCAGTTCTCATGATCTTCTCGATGAAATCATTCCAAATAGCTCCTACTAGATACTTGCTTATACATAAGAAACAGCGACAACCAAAAAGCCACAAGTGAATGCTAACAAAACAGTAATAGATTTTGAACTTTTTTTTTTTTCGGTACCAGGGATCAAACTCGGGACCTTGTACTTGCGAGACATGTGGCAGAACCACTGAACTAAATCCCCGGCCCAAAACAGTACTAGATTTTGACTGCAGATGCTATCTAAGAAAGAGCTTCTCTAAAAAAAAAGAAAAAAACCGAAAGAGCTTCTCTGACTTCATTTGTGGCTGACAGAGGATATGGCCTGCATGATGGCATTCAGAGATTATTTCTTTGATCTGACAATAAAAATGAACATACAGTCCAAAATGCCCTAATTAAGGTTAGATCTTAAGCCACACTTGATTTTTTACAAAGAGATTGAAAAAAATTTTTTACATGAAAAAAGCTACAGAAGGAAAACTAGGGCAGCAGAACCATTTAGTGAGAAGTTAATGTTTAAATTTCTCAAAATAAAAGAAACAAATAGTTACATTTTCATATAATCAAAGATGCTATAAAATAAAGTATGTGAATAGGAAAAAGTAATATGAGAATAGGCACTCAAAGGCATAACATAAATGTGTATAAGATCTGTGGAATTAATACTGTAGTAATATGGAGAGATTCTGACACATAATTAAAATAAATAATATACTGGAAGGCAGAAGCTGGGAAACAGACAAAAGTCTACTCATAGAGTGAAAGGGGGGCAGCTGAGCTGAAGCCACAAACCTTACATTATTTGTATAACAATTACCTGGGCCACAGGGCTGCTCAGAAGATAACAAAAAGACAAATCTAACTTTATTGGTAATTTAAAATTTTTGGATAACTTCAAACTCACATAAAAGTTGAAAGATTACTATAAGGAACTAGCACATACATTTTATTGAGATTCACCATCATATTACCCCATTTGCTTTACAGACATGTATTTTTTCTTTATACCACTATGAAAGTATATTTGAGACATCATGCTTTTACAATTAAATACTTCTGTGAACAGTCTCTTACATACCATAGTATAAATGTAATTAAACCAGGAAATGTAATATTGATATACATCTTATTATCTAACCCAATTTTCACACTTAGCCAGCCATCCCAATAATTTCCTTTATAGGTATTTTCCTATTTCACGATGTATTAAAAATAAACTCCATTTAGTCCTCATGTATCTTTAGTCTCCATTAATTTGAAATAGCCTATCCTTGTTCTCTTTTTTTCCTTTTGAAGTTTATTATGTACAGTTGTAATATAATTCACATAAATTTACCATTTTCACAGTTTAACAATATGTGGGTCTTTTGTGTCTGGCTTCTAACACTTAAATGTTTTATAAGTTTACTAATGTAGCATGAATCAGTATTTAATTCCTTTTTATTGTCAAACACTATTCCATTGTACATATAGACCACAATTTGTTTATCCACATCATATGATGAAGGATGTTTAGGTTATTTCTACTTTTTGGCTACTGCACATAGTGCCACTACAATATGCACATTCCTGTACAAGTAAGTATTTGAGTACCTGTTTTCCATTCTTTTCAGAATGTATCTAGAAGTGGAATTCTCCATCATATGGTAGCTCTATATTAGTTTTTGAGGAACAGCCAAACTGTTTTTCTCCGTGGCTATACCAGTTACAATCCTACCAGCAATGTAAGAGGTTTCCAATTTCTTCATATCCTTGCCAACACCTGATACTTGTTTTCTCTTTAAAATGATAGCCATCATCGGCCGGGGATTTAGCTCCGTGGTTCTGGTGCCTGCCTTGCAAGCACAAGGTCCTGAGTTGGATCCCTTGTACCAAAAACAAACAAACAAACAAAATTATAGCCATTCTCATGGGTGTGAGATGGTATTTCACTGTGGTTTTGATTAGCATTTTCCCTGTGCCTAGTGATGTTGTGCATCTTTTTACCTGCTTGTTGGACATGTATACTCAAGTCCTTGGCCCATTTTTGAATTGGTTATCATTTTGTCCACTTGTAAGAGTTCTTGGTATTGTCTGGATACTAGAATCTTATCATATGACTTGCAAATATTTTCTCTCATTCTATGTGTAGTCTTTTTATCTTTTGTCAATGTCTTATTATTAGGTTTTTAATGACTAGGCTTTTGATATTGGTAAAGTCCAATTTACCTATTTTTCTTTTATGGTTTCTGCATTTCATTTTGGGCCCTATGTCCCTGTTGAAGAGACTACGCTCTCATCATTCAATGATCTTGGCAAACCTGTTGAAAATCAAGTCATCACTGATGTGGGGGTTTACTTCCAGATTCTCAAAGATTCTCAATTTTATCTCCCCTCCTTTTAAAAAGTTTTCAAAGTTGGGGTAAAATGCATATAAACTTTTCCATTGTAACCATTTTAAAGAGTAGCTGTTCTTAAGCTCTGCTGATTTTCCTTCATTCTTTTTTTCTCTCTGCTTCAGTCTGGAGAGTGTTAACTGACCTGATCTGAGTTCACTGAGACTTTCTATTGTCTACTCAAATCCGGCGGTGGCAACTCTCTACCGATTTTTTTTAACCCCAGCTACTGTACTTTATAGTTCCAGAATTTCTACTTGGTGTTGTTTTATAATTTTAATGTCTTTATTGATAGTCTCCATTAGTTCATAATTCTCCTTGTTTTAGCTATTTGACAATACTTAGGATGACTTAAAATCTTTGAGTAGTAAGTATAATGTCTGTCCTTCCTCAAGGATATTCCTTTTTTTTTTCCTTTTCTGTGACTGGGTCATTCTTTATTGTTTTTGTGCATGTGTTATTTCATGTTGAAAACTGCCCCCACCTCCACCCCCCAGGCTGGGAAAGAGAATGCAGGGCCCTGTACCACTGAACTACATCTCCAGCCCTTTGGGTTTGTTTATTTGTCTTAATTTTGAAACAAGGTCTCACCAAGTTGCCTGGGGTGGCTTCAAATATGTGATTTTCCTGTCTTCGCCTCCCAAGTACTGTAGCTAGAATCACAGGTGTGCAGGCCATGGCCAACCGAAAACTGGGCATTTTATATATCATTATGTGGTTAACTCCGAAAATTGGATTCTTACTCTTTTGTTGCTATTGTTTTGTCGTGAGTTGTAGTTGTCGGTTTAATGACTCTTCTACACTCTTTTTGTAAGGACTATACTCTTTGTCATGCTTAAGCTTCTGTTCTGTTACCTTAGCAATCAGCAAGGAATTGAACAGACTGTCTTAAATGCTTGGAGCAAAAGAGGAAGAAATACTCTCTAGGTCTTTGTAGATTGGCTTTCTATTGAACATTTCTTTATGCCTGGCCAGATCATTTACAACTTTGCCTAAGCCTTAGATTCCTGCTTGCATGGAGCCTAAGTGTCAGCCATAAGGGAAAGCTTAGGATCCTCTAAGGTTTCTTCTGAGTATGCATTCAGCCCTGGGCTGTCTAGATTTCAAAGTATATGGTGGAATATCTCAAAACCTTTGTACTCCTTGTATCCCCTTTCACAGCCTCTCTTCTTATACTT